CCATAGTAATGGTACACTACGTAATCTCGTCATAGTTTCTAGACTTATGCAAATCACTTACTTAATCCTCAGTCATTGAGGTTACTTAGTTCATTTAGCAGTCAAATCCATTTTAGTTACTTTGGAGTCTCCAGAGTAATTCAAACGTTTTTGAATTTCAGATACATATTGTACTCTCGTTCAATTTAATTTGCTCTTCGATTTTGACTTGTTTAACAAATATCCACTTCTTAGTACTGAATGCGATCTAGAGATGAGCTGAACTGAATACTTCCAAAATTATCATCGAGCCAAACTTGAGAAGACGAATACGTATTCAAGTGATATCTATGTTGTTCAGGTACTGACATATCATTAGCGTTGGTCAACTCACTTAGGCTGAATTCCATAACTTTTAAGGGTAGTTCAACACCCATGTTTATTTGGATTCCTTAATTAATCCAAGACATTTTCTTAATCTAGTCCATAAGGGCATTTTGGTCATTTTGGTGTTCAATGTTTTTCCATTCATTTCAAAGCTTGAGGATATCCATTTATTTTTGGGCTTGGTGATATTCTTTAGTTATTTCCATTACAGGGGTATTTTGGTCATTCTACAGATCTGGGATATTTCAATCTTGTCTTATTATTTAATTCCAATTTAGCATCTATTTCAGTCCCTTCGAAAAATTCTGATAAAATAGCACCCTCGATAATTTATTCTTAACTCAGAGATTTTCAGGTTAATTGCCTTCTTAGAAGTTATAAACAGGTTATCAGGAATTTTTATGTACAAAGACGGATCTTAACATTTAAATCCATAATTTATCGAGTTAAATACGAATTCTAAAAGTATTTTCTCATTCAGGGTCAACTTAGACTATTTTTACCACTCAAGGGCATTCTCGTAATTTTTTAACTAGATAATTTTGGTATTAACTCTTAACGAAAATAATTATAATTTAGAGATCCTATGGTTAAGTGTTTTCTCAAACATTCTCTGATATTGAAATGATTCCTTAACAGACTTGTTGTAACTTGCACAAACCCTCTTGGGGTTAAAAACCAGTTATCCAAACTTTCTAAGAAAAACTAGTATTTCTTATGCACATCTGTACTTTCATCAGATCAATATGTCTTTAAAAACCCTTATCCAACTTCCATGGTCAAATCTTATCTTTTTACAACATAAGGGTATTTTTGTAATTTTACCCTACCAGAGTATTCTCATAATATATTGCTTAAACCGTATTCGGTTCAAGTCCATCCATAATCAAACGGCATAATAGACCAATCATATATATTCATGCATTTATCCATTATCAACATATTCCATAAAGCATATATAGGTAGTAATGTATTACCTTGATTTGTGTGACATACTGATCGACCATAAAAATTCCATTCGAATGCCCTCGATCTTGAAATCATCTCTCAATAATTCCTCAGATACATATTAACAAAAATTACCTAAAAACGAAGCTTAATTCTGAAAACGGATCGAATCGGGTGATAAATCAGTGAAAAACAGCTTACCAGGTTTGAATTTGGCGAAACGGACCCCAAAAACAGATTCAAGATATAAAAAATCGTCAGGATAGGTATACCCTGAAAAAGTTAACGGTTTTTCAATGGCCGGTCAAAGTTCTGGTCAACTACGATCAATGGTTTTACACAAATATCACCCTAAAGAAATTAATTACATATTAGGCACCATTTTAAAAATATTTACAAAACTGGAACCCGATTTCTTTTTTTTTTCCTGTTAACCGGTGCAGAACAATCCCCACGCGCAGGGGCTGGCGCGTGGGGCACGTGCGGCGTCCTCGGAGCCCCTATAAATACCAGAAAATTTACTAAAAATTATTTTATAGCATTTTGAGACACTTACAAAGCTCGGTTCACAATTTTGAATGGCGAAGAGCTCGATTCCGAAACATCGAAAACTTTGACTTTCTCATCCCTCTACACATCGGTGACGACGAAGACACAGATGACATCGGTGGACTCAGAATGATGCAAGGAACACGATTGCGCGGGAGATGTCGAAAACGGGTGGTCGGATCGACGGAAAACCACCAAAAATTGATTTAAAATCGACGATACTTCCTACTGAAATTAACGATTCACGATGAAGATTCACGACGAAAGGTTTGAGGGGTTTTGATCATCTTTCAACAATGAACACGATGGTAGTTTCAGTTCATCAAAAGGAGGCCGGACGACGAGTAGATCGGAGATCAAAGTCGTTGATCGGGGAGAGGAAAAATGAGAATTTGTTCTACAGAAATACACGGGGGAAGAAACTTATAATTGTCTTAAAAAGAAAAATGGTTAAACTATAAGTTTAGCCACATAATTTCTTGCACTTTATAAAATGGTTTGTCAACTTTGAAAATTTTCAATTTAATCCTCAATTTTCTTCCCAAAATACCAATTAAATCCACCACTTTATAATTCTAAAATTTAGCCCCTAAATTGGGGTGTTACATCATATGTCCCAAACTTTTGCAATTGCAGTATATTATGGGATCTTTTTCTCTCTTTGATTTACGCTCCACATTTTTCCTTTATGAAGACATGAATTTCATGAAAAAAATTGGCCATCTCTTCATCCTCATCCACCTCTTCACTAAAGTCTTTTTCATATTCATTGATGAACTTAAAAGCAATTCCAACATCATTTTTCTTCTTTTCCTTCTTTACACTTATTCATCTTATCTTTTAAGTCTCATCTCATGAGTAAGCAATAATCCAATGAGTTCATCAAGAGTATGTTCTTCAAGATCCTTAGTTTCTTTAATAGATGTCCTCTTGGATTCCCAAGACATTGGCAAGCTGGTGCTGATAATAATGCTACAGTTGTAACGCAAGCATACGTATGAAACAATTAATAAAGTGGAAGCCTTTTTAGGCTCCTGATGTTGAACCCACATAGAGCAAGTTGTTTACACAAGAGTTAACATATTAAATTGATAAAAGAATAACATGTAATCGAACTAGGATTAAAAGATATAATTTAATAAGAGAAGGTCAGAGTCATGCCATATTCATGTGTTTAAATTTACCACAAAGTATCTAACATTGATTAGAATTAAATAATCATTTCGAATTAGCACTAACAAAATCAAAAAATCAATATAGTAACTATGCTAAATACTTGGCAGCATATATCTCAACATGCAATTGTTTCTCACAATACCAAGGCCACAAAAATAGTATGCATATCATTCGGTTATATCTAAACTACATGATCAACATACTTGAACAATAAAATTTCTTTCATCATTCATAAGTTCAAGGCACAATATAATAAACTCAAAAAATTCAGAATAGCAAAGCACCCAACCAAACGACTAAGTTTAAAACAAATATCATCCACAATAAAAGTATTTCAAACTATCCTAGTACTCCCCTATCCCAGGCAGAGAAAAAAGGCAGCTGAGTTGATCTCTTATTGACCCACTGATGCTACTCGGTGAAGGCTATTCCTCGAATGTTGTAGCACTTTCCCGACTGAGCGGTTTAAGCAACCATGAAAAAAGATGAGAGGATTTTATGGAGAAGAGAGGGTGAATATCTGATATGATTTGATGCAAAAATAAGTAAAAGACTGCCCTACTTATAATTAAAGAGTGCAAAATCCTCTCCAATAAGAGTTTTCTACATTGTAGGTGCAAAGAGGAGAGGATTACAACTGTCCCAACCATCTATTTTATTTCAAAATGTTCTACCCAACAATGGTGAGTCATCACTTGTTGTAGCATCCACTCCAGTGCTACAACATTTTACATCTTTTTTCAGCAGAAAAACTAGAAATCAAACCAAGTTAACCAAATTCCTAATAATGTAAAAATATATGCAATTAAGACTAATTTAATCCTAAAATGATTTTAAACATGCTTAAATTCAAGCTAAACCTAGGTATAAAATGCTAACATGATAACACTTTTGGAGAGTTATCATACCCCCAAACCTAGATGTTTGCTTGTCATTAAGCAATAATATGTATGAAATGTAGCTAAACTAAACAAAAATACCACATATTAGAACCAATAAACAAATTCAACATTTAACTTCATTTTTTAGCCTTGAGATCATTGCTGTAGAAATATATACAACATTCATATAATCTCAAATTAGTAATTGCATCATTCAAATTAGAGTCCATAGCATGCAAACGTGCATGTTAGGTGTATCCAGTCAATACTTAACTAATTTAGAAAAACATGAACCTACTTAATTAAAGATTTTCAATGTTGCAGCAACCTCCTAATTTATGCTAATGTTGGAGATAGTGTTAGGCACCTCTAACTTAGTTTCACTCTTATGGTTACTAGAGCCAATCATGTTCACCTCTAGTTGATTTAATATAACATCATTTAATAAAGATGCGAGTTTAATTTAAAACTTCCTAAATTCTCTAAGTACTGAAAACATACACCTAAGGTAAGGAATTTTTCTATGTACCTTAATTCAAATAAGCTCCAAAGCAATTCCATGGAATTTTATTCTCTAACTTATTCATCATTGGGCATCATCAAAATTAATTAAAAGTTCCTTGATTTAATCACCTTAATCTATGATATTTTTCATGCAAAACTTAAACAATATGTTATATGCAACACAATGCAAACATAATACAAATCATAATGCTTAACATCATTCAATTACTACAATGCACAAAATAAAAACAAAATGACATGTAAACAAAATGACATGCATATATATGCACAACACCAATGGAAAACACCCCCTCGCTTGGATGCCACTTTCGACTTCATTGAACTCTTTCTTTTAACGCCGATGGACGTTAATGTGGCATGCACTATAACAGCATCAGGAATTATGAGACGAACCTCCTTAGTTTATTCTGGTATGGTAGTTTCAAGGTTTGCCAAGTTTTTCCTAGCGTCACCCAAAGCAGTTTCGGTTGAGCCCTTAGGATGACTCGCAGTGGCTTGTTAAATCTCCTTAACAATTTGACTAGTAATTTTCATATATTCAAAAACTTTAGCAACTTACAAAATATGAATATTCAATAAAGTCCTTTGCACCAAATCAATATCGATGTCTCCAAGCTGGCTAGCTATCTCCATTTGGTTCACAGTCTTAAACACATTAGTTACAAGTATGATTATCTCCAACACATGTTTCTTTGTTGCTACATCATCATGTGCAACAGTGTTAGTATTCAAATCCAATAGCTTCCTTGCAATAGTCTGCTCCTTGCTGGTAGTTTCTTTTTTTTCTTTCTCTTGGCTAATTGTCTTGGTGGTATCTATAGGATAATCATTGTCAGAACCAACTACAATGACATCCTTTGAATCAACCTCATCTTCCTCCTCATCTTCTTCTTCCTTAGATGCTTCCTCTTCGGTTGAGCCCTTGGGATGACTCGCAGTGGCTTGTTGAATCTCCTTAACAATTTGACTAGTAATTTTCGAATATTCAACAACTTTAGAAACTTACGGAATATGAATATGAAATAAAGTCCTTTGCACCAAATCAATATCGATGTCTCCAAGCTGGCTAGCTGCCTCCATTTGGTTCACATCTTTAAGCACATTAGTTACAAGTATAACTGTATCCAACTCATGTTGCTCTGTTGCTACATCATCTTGTGCAATAGTGTTAGTATTTAAATCCAATAGCTGCCTTGCAGTAGTATGCTCATTGCTGGTAGTTTTTTTTCTATTGGCTAATTGTCTCAGTGGTCTCTATGGGATCATCATTGTCAGAACCAACTACAATGACATCCGTTGAATCAACCTCATCTTCCTCCTCATCTTCTTCTTCCTTAGATGCTTCCTCTTCGGCTTCTTCCTTAGTTTTTATCTCGGCTTCCATGGTATCTACTCTAATATCAGTGTTGGTTGTTGGGATCTCCTTAACGATATCAGAACTGTTAGTAGCACCAGACATATGCGGTTGAACCAAATCAACAAGAACACTTGTAAGAAATTTCGAAAAGACAAATTTCCCATCTTTGACCAATGCTGCTGATATTTTCTTCAACACAGCATCCCTGGCTTGGGCATATTGCCAGTATTATACTTGATCCGAATGTAGTCGTGATTGAATCTGGATAATGTGGCTCAGTATGGACATGATGTTGTCCTAATGTCATTCCTTGGATACTATAGCATTGGGAAGATCGAAGGATTGATTCAGAGGCTGTGGTTTAAAATTATGGCTCACTAGTCATGGGTATGGAGGATTTTGGTTCGAGTCTCTCCTTTAGCAACGTTCGTTTGATAACAATGATGGTTATAGATTTTCTATTCTCGGTAATCTGATTATAAGGTAATCTATCCACTTGTGCTTTATGGCATAATGTTGCTATGACTGATGGAAAATATAGATAACCACTAGCCTTTTGGCTATAAGCAAACAGTTCAACAGAGATGATTTTACCAACATCAATACGTCTACCCATTAAAATGGAATGCAACAATAAAATCCTATCCCTAGTAATGAAGGAGAAATGCATGGTGGGCATTAAACGAGTTTGAAGGGAAAACGAACCATACTCGAGTTTTTCGATTTAGGTCTAATTGACACATGGTGTAGTTATTGGAGGAAGATTTAATCCAAGGCTTTTCTGGAAAGCATACATCCCTCGCAACTTGCTCCAAATCCTTAGTTGTGAGGTTGTTGACAAATTTGGTGTGCTCACATAAACCCTCTTCTAGCCCGAGCAGGATGTTGATTGGTACAACCCACCAATGAACCAACTTTTCTAGTACAAAAATCAGAGACTTATCTTCATGCATCAAGTTTTATAAAACTCCTAGACCCAGTGATGATTGATTTCGCCAGGATGAGCACAAAACGTAACCCATTTCATCTTAACAATGATATCGGTAATATAGGCAAAAGGATTTAAGTAATCAGTGATGGATAAATCGAAACCTTGCTCATTGATAAACTTTTGATTAACAAAGTCTTCAGAGTAGTGTCGTTGTTGCTAAATTCCCATGAATCATATGGGTTCAGCGGCAGTTGCTAATTTTAGCAATGAGGTCGGTAATGGAAAGGTTAAAAGACAGCTTGAACTCTTGATAGTAGTTTATTTTGGTGCCATGGCTAAGGAGGTGAAGTGTTTAAAGGAAAATGGAAGGAAGTAGGAAAAAAGAAGAGAACTGGAAGAAAGTGGAGAGTCTTTGGAAATAAAAAAGAAAACGTCTATGGGAAGAAGATGAAAGGTAAAAGGAAATAAGTGTGAGTAAATGTTAGGGGTTGGGTATTAAAGGTAGAATATAAAGGTTTAACAAAAGGTTTTAAAATTTAAAATGAAATGATAAGGATAAAGATACAAATTGGATAATGAAGATAGGCTAAAGTGGATAGTGGATATGAAAGGGGCAAAAAGTGGGTGACAACTCGCACAAATTACTTTTTACCAAGAGTTACTTACCCAGTTGGCATATATTGTAGCATTCAATGCGGCAATCTGATTTATAGAGGCATAAAATCACCATGTAGCACATAGTCTCAGGAGAAGTATTTCAGTAGGAAAGCTTCAGTATTATCCTAGACAAAAAGAAAGAAAATAATTAAAATCTAATCAAACTAAAAAAATTAACTAATGTCAAAATTGACTTATTTAAAGCAAAATAAATTTAAAAATGAGGGGGTTCACTTAGTGTGATTGAGGCGATATTAAGGATTTGTTGTTGGAAATAAACGCTATCAATTGAATTTGAACGAGGTTTCATCAACTAAATTCTTCAAAAGTATTGCCCATGAGGATAAACATCTACAACTTCAAAGGGTCCCGACCAATAAGACTCGAGTTTTCCCGGGAAAAGCTTTAGATGAGTGTTAAATAACAATACTTGTTGTCCAACATGAAACTATTTTGTCAAGATATATTGGTCATGCCATTTCTTACTTTTTTCTTTATAGATTCGAGCACTTTCATAAGCATTGTTGCGTAGCTCCTCAAGTTCATTGATCTCCGACATTCAAGTCATAAAGACCAATCTTTCCTTGAAGGATTTACCATTTTTCCAAGATTTGCTTGATTTTACGGTTAGATACATTGTCTTGACCATTTGTTTGAGGATGATATGATGTAGCAATATGATGTTTGACTCTATAACGCTGCAAGGCATTAAATACTTGTCGACCAATAAATTCGGAACCTTCATCACTAATGAATGCTCTTGGTGTTCCAAAACGAGTAAAAATGTGCTTATGGAGAAATCTAAGAACCACTTTAGCATCACTTGAGGGTAATGCTACAGCCTCAACCCACTTAGACACATAAACAACGGTAACAAGGATAAAGGTGTTATCACAAGAAGATGGGTAAGGTTCCTTCAAATCTAATCCCCAAACATCAAATAAGTCTATCTCCGAAAAAGGTTGCATTGGCATTTCATTGTGCCAAGAAATGTTGCATGTTCTTTGGCATCGATCACAATGTTGTACGAAAATATTAGCATCTTTGAATAGCGATGGTCAATAATATCCACACTGGAGGACCTTTGTTATTGTATGCATGCCACCAAAATGATCGTCATAGGGTGTGCTATGGTAACGTTGTAAAATGTTGTACTGCTCATTCTCGGGAACACACCTCCTAAAAAATTGGTCATTACATTGCTTGAAAACGTAAGATTACATTGCTTGAAAATGTAAGGTTATTCCCAAAAATATGCTTTGATATCTTGCATGAACTTCTTTCTACCTTGATGATTAAGATCTATTGGCATTATACCACTAACTAAATAATTCAAAAAACCCATGTACCATGGTAGAACATCGATGTTAAGCAATCTCTCATTGAGAAAAGCATATGGTGCCACAACAGTTTTGCCATCCTCACTTTCAAATTCCAAATGGGACAAGTGGTCAGCCACTTAATTTTTGGTTCATTTATTGTCTCAGACTTCAATATCAAATTCTTAAAGTAACACCCCACACAACAAATCAATCTTGACTTAGTGTCATTCATAACAAATAAAAGCTTCAGAGCCGAGTGGTCAGCATAAACTATTACCCTGGTTCCAACCAAGTATGGGTGAAATTTGTCAAAAGTAAACACCATAGCAAACAACTCTTTTTCAATTGTGTTGTAATTTACCTGAGCATCATTCAATGTCCTGCTAGCATAATGAATAGTATGAAAGACTCACTCCTTGCGTTGCCCCACCACTGCTCCTATAGCATAGTCACTAGCATCACATATCAATTCAAAAGGTAAACTCCAATATGGTGCTACGATAATAAGAACATTAACCAGCTTAGATTTCATGGTCTCGAAGGATTTAATATCTTCAACATCAATAATGAACTTCTTGTTTTTCTCTAGCAATGAGCATAAAGGTCTAGTAATTTGGGAGAGATCATTGATAAATCTACGATAAAAGCATGCATGCCCTAGAAAACTTTTTACAACCTTCACATTTGAGGGATGAGGTAACTTCTTAATAACTTCGACCTTGGCCTTGTCTACTTCAATGCCACGTTGAGAAATGCGATGCCCAACAATATGCCTTCAGTCACCATAAACTAGCATTTTCCCAATTCAAAACAAAGTTGGTTTCTTCACATCTCTTCAAAATAGTGGCTAAGTTAGCTAGAGATTACTCAAAGTCTTACCCAAAACCAGTGAAATCATTCATGAATATCTCCAAGAAATCTTCAATCATTTTAGAGAATATTGCCGTCATGCAATGCTGAAATGTTGCTGGAGCATTGCATAGGTCGAACGATATCCTTCTAAAAGGAAAAAGTTCCATAAGGAAAAGTAAAAGTAGTTTTGCCTTGATCTTCAAGAGCTATAGTATTGCACGTTATGAGTACTATAAAATTATACACAAATAATGTGCAAGTACACATAATTACAATAAGTAATATAATGATGAGCGAGTATCGTCTCCACAAGGATTGGTGGAAATTATGAGTTTAACCACAACACTACACTAATTTATCTAAGTATAGAGATGATATATACACTGATGATGCTTCAGTAATTGAAATGTGAGAGTGAATGAAATGATGGCCATGGAGTGTGATTGAGTGAATAATGTCATGGAAAAAGAGCAATTTATAATGTTGAAAATGTCGAGGCAATGTAAAATGGTAAAAATAATAAATAAATGAATAGCTTGAAAATCCTCACATGGGAAACTAATTCAGAAATGAATGGTAGGGACATACTTAAGGAGTTGAAAACTTATCTCCTTAGCTGATTTAGTCTTCTAATGTTTTACTTGCTCGATGGAGTTTGCTAAAAATGATCCCGCTATCTCTAGTCATAAGAACCTAACATAATAGAATGCCATAGTATCTCCTCTCAGTCTCAACCATGTCAGCCTACACTTTTGATGATGCACTACCCCTCTTAGTTGTTGAAATCCTAACTTAGTCTTTCTCAAGTAATAAGGGATTAGGCTATAGTAATTAATTATATCCCATTGTTTATGTTGATCTTAAAATAAGAGAAAAACATTCATCAACCATTGAAATAAAATTTTCAAGCATCCATCAAATGAACCCACCAAATATAGCTTAGTTCATGATGCGATTCGAATAAACGAAGGAGAATATCCAATCGTTCATTTAACCATTTTATTCAGAGCTTCACCATTGGTGCTTACCATGAAATATTCAGCTATAACAATTGGAGGAAAACCAATAAAAATAGAGAAAGAACAGTGGAGAGAATGAAGAAGATGATGATTTTCAAGCTTGGTTGTAACTTTTTCTTCTCTCTCTTGTGTGGTGTCCTTTAATAATAAAAATATCTAAGGGTATTCTTGTAGATTTCGCTCTCAAAATACCCATCATACCCCTATAATCATTGTGCGTGAAGTCTATCACCACAGGTGGTAGTGGACTCCTTCAGGCAGTTACAAGCAGCAAACACATGCTTTGACAATTGTCCTCTTGTAAAAATATCTTTTTGTCATTTTCTGCGCCAGAAATGCCAAGGCATTGAAGTCTGGTTCAGCAATGTGTGATGTTGTAACATTCTTCTCGGCTCACTCTATGCTCCTTGTTTCCTGCGCATCACTACCCAACCATACCCCCATCACATAACATCTTAACAAAATAAAATATCACAACCAATATAAATGCAACTACATACAACTATATGAATTTAAATTGATGTATATGAACCCTTAGACAAACAATAACTTAAGTGAAAAAGGTCTTCAAAGTAGTCTTTTTACAGGATTATCACTCCCCCAAACTTAAGCTATTGCATGTCCTCAAGCAATGGATAACATTTAACACAATCAAAATACCATGACAATTTTCATAATAGGACAATCAAGACAAAAATAGAATTTCAACCCTCAGAAAAGTTGGGTTCAACATGCTAGACATATTAAGAAATCAAGTACTTTTTCCTAGGTAAAGATTTTTTGTGGTTGTGTGGTGCGTAATAATATATAATATATACTTAATGAATCTAGGCAATTTCTAATTGAGTTCCCTAGTTTCACCATGACATTTACTCATTCATAAAGCACATTTACACTCCCTTTTTACTAAATACACACTTTTTTTTTATTATTATGTTGCTACGAAGGGAGTCAGTCCATCACACTAGCCATCCCACACTCTCAGTGAAAGGGAGCATATCTTCTACCCCGAAGCTAGTCAGGTAGAGTCATCCCATGATTGCTTTCATTCACTTGTACGCACATGGCTTTCATTTATTAAAAAGAGTTCCAGGCAATGCCACAACAAAAATGAGTATCCCTCTACAACTATACCGAAGCATTTATTCATAATTAAACAAAATTCATACATAAGGGAGTTCTTTAAGGATTTATCAATTAAGAACAATGCCAAATTTTATTTCCAAGGCTAACTGGAGTTCTTTATAAAAACTTCCAAAGTTCCTTAAGTATAGAGAACATACAAATCGTGTAAGAATAATTCACAAAGCATCAAGCCCTAAAGTTAGTTCTATAATTCTCAACAGTCATTTACATTCAATTTCTAGCCTAAAAAGTTCATCATCATCAGGTATCATCAAAACATTTCATCTAATTGTCATACCATTTATTGATGCCATGGCATAATGTTATGCTAATACTGTTATGCATATGTTCTACAAAGAACACTACCTCCCCCAAACTTGAGAGAAGCATTGCCCTCAGTGCTTAAGAGAACAAAGTAATTAATTAAACTAGATACAATGTCATGCTATACAAAAAAATGAATACAAAACAAGGTACCTTGATTTATATAGTGGCGACGGTGTTGCGATGAAGGTGCTAGGAGTTTCACGTCTGGTTCGCATCCGTAGCACGGTGGGGCTGGAATATGAAGATGTAGAATAATAATTGGTGATGGAGGTGTTGACATGGCATGTTGAAGTCTTTATATGATAGCTGGTTCGACATGCGAAAGGAGGTGCTTCAACTGGACTGGGAGCTGTATAGGGCAGCTCACTAGGAGAATCATATGAATGAGACCAGGGTACAAGATCTAAAACGAGCTCAGTGGTGGTAGGGTTGACATCATAAGGCTCAGGAGATTCCTCGGCATCATTAAATGCCGACAGAATTTCATCCTGGAAACCTGAGAAATTTTGTTCTACATGAGGGAACTTCCCTTGAAAGATTGACACCACTACAACATCTCTACGCTTGATATAGCTAAAGAAATTCTTTATATCATCCCTGAGAGAACTTAAGTGAGTTATTGTTTGTTGGACAAATTCTTTGAGGGCAAGCAGTCTTGTCTTGACAATGCGGGGTTTTTTCTCCTTGGACTCCTCGGTATTGGCTTTCTTGGATTTATGGTTAACCAATCCTAACAGCATAGACATCCATGCTCTAGTGATGCCAGACACTCTAGACAAGATTTCATCAAAACTACTTTAAACCACCTTTTTCTTTCAATATATTATTGTAATGAAATTCAGGAAAACCAACTCGCTCGATTTATTAGCTAAACACTCATACACTTGTTCAATAATTATTCGACCAACATCAATGGAACAAGTGACCATAATAGAGTGTAATAACATTAACTGAGTAAGGTTTACCATTTTGTTGTGGGTGGTCGGCTGAGCTTGTGCTTCATGAAGTGGTTCTATAACTTTACGCGAGGTTGAAGGTGCTCCCGGTTAACGGAATAACGACTAATCTGACGGCCATTCCAGTTAGCGTTTGGCAAACACAAATCCTCCAGTATCCCATCATATGTGGTACCATCATATTCTTTCTTAAAATCTACATGTTGATTTACAATGTCTGCAAATGAAAATAGTGATTAATCGTAGAAGGTGTAAAACGAATGTATTTACCTCTAACAAAAATTGTATGTTAGTTCGGTTTTGAGATGTTTACATAGAACTCCTTAACCAGGGAGGCATTGATGGAGTTGGGATGGCGCACAAATTTTTGCCA